ACTCGAGCTAGTCCGCTGCTCTCTACTGTGCATGCATCAGCGCGAACATGTACGCAATCGCGTCTTTTGATTCCAACCAATAAGCGCCGACGCAACGACGTCACACACCCGACGTCACACACAACAACAGCTAAGATAAGCTAGCCGAGACGACACTCGAAGTCGGACGGACACGTTTTTCTGCCAATCTGTGTTTCCCTTTTTGTCTGAATATATTTTTTACGACAACTGTCTTGTCCACGATGTCTTTTATTCGTTCCACTGGGGTTTAGCAAATGTGTTGATAAAGAGACGAAAATCTCTACTGTTACTAGTGTTAGTGTCTCAACATGGCTACGCTCGTGAAAGCAAAACAACAAACTCAAACGCGTCTTCGTTCAATGTTGTCAACTAATATCCGGATTAATTTTAGGCAAATTTTCCTCAATTCTCCGGAGAGATTTTCATAAAAATGTGAAAAACCCGGAATTCCGGGAAAATCCGGAGGACTTTCATCTCTACATGCAGCTACAGAAGACTTTTTTTGTCTGTTGTGGGCAGTTACATATGCCTCCTAATTTTCATTGATGTAGATGGAATGTACTACCAAGAAAGCTTCGTTTCCAGGGGTGCCTTGTTAAAAAAGTATAGGGGGCACTACTGAGCCGTTTGTCAGAAATGGCACAATAAAACACTAAAATCTACATGTTTTTGTCAAGTTTGATGCATGCACAAAGTCTCATAACTTTTCTCCTTGGTGCAGACCCTGTAAAACAGCATCATTTTTCTTTGCAAGTGTAACATTGCTATGGCAACAATGTGCAAACAAAATAAACAAAAAGCCTTAAACAACTTTCGATCTTAAACAGGTGAAGATGAAACACCCAAAGTTTAAACACAATAGGATAAAACTTAGAGGAGGACTTTATTATAATATGACTTCCATAAAAGGCCAAAATTGGCACACAATTTAAAAAATGGCGAACCTGCTTTTCGGTTTAGCACGACTCCAGTAGAGATTTTTCTAAGTATTGGGCTGTTACATATCTCCCAATTGTCACAGATCTAGATGGAAAGTAGAATCGTGAATGCCCCATTAAAAATTTGTAGGGGGCGCTAAAGAGCCATTGATTGAAAATCATGCACAAAATCTCTAAAATACGGATTTGTAGGTCTCATCTAAAGTGTGTTTCATTACATTTCTCCCAGGTTAAGATCCTTTAAAAAAAGCATCCATTTTCTTTGTCAACATTTCCTCACCATGGCAACCGTGAGCGATTAAATAAAAAGCTTTCAAAAACTTTTCATCTGAAATATATGTAGACTCTGTCTGAGCCCTGAGCACGCACAAGGGGAGATGTCTCCTCACCAGGAAGGCTCTGGGGCCAGATGGAGTACTGGGCCAGGTGCTCAACGACTGTGCTGTTGATGTACGTTTTCATCTCCATCCACCGCCATCCCTTCCAAATACCTGGAGAGGCTGGTGATTAAATACATTAAAGCTGTTACATTACGCATCCTTATCAGTTTGCCTACATTGAGAACATGTCAACTGGACAATGACCACATCCACCAGGACAATAGCTTTGATCAAGAAGATGCATTATTGCACTATGACACCATCTTCATGAATTTCACAATATGTCCTTGCCCGGCACTTCTTTATTTTTGATACACACTGATGCTGTTTTAACTGTTACTATAATGATGCACTTGTGTCATAACTGGCCAGATGTTTACCCTGGGTTACTTATTGGGTTTTGTGGTTTACACACCTGTGGCACTTCACATCAAATAGTGTTGATCCTCCACACATAATTTTGTTGTTTTCTGAGGCAACGAAAATTAATTTCCTGAATCTGGAGATGAAGACTCAAAGTTTGAAGATGATTGGATTAAAATCTTTATGAGGAGCTTGCTAAATATGACCGCTGTAAAGGCAAAAAATATTTGCAACATTTCAAAATAAAACCCAAGTGGCCGACTTCCTTTTAGGTTTAGCACGTAACTCCATAAGACATTTTCATAGGTCTTGGGCAAGTGGACGTCTCCCAATTTTCACAGATCTAGGTGAAATTTGGAGGGCTGGGCTCAAGCCATTTTTATAAAATAGCACGACATTTCTAAAATATTTATTTTCATGTCAGGTCTGATGCGTGTGCCAAGTTTCATGAGCTTTCGCCTCGGTTTAGACCGGGGGTCGGCAACCTGCGGCTCCGGAGCCACATGTGGCTCTTTAGTGCTGCCCTAGTGGCTCCCTGGAGCTTTTTCAAAAATGTTTGAAAATGGAAAAAGATGGGGGAGGGAAATACATTTTTTGATTTAATATGGTTTCTGTGGGAGGGCAAACATGACACAAACATTCTTAATGTTTTCTAATGCTGTAAAAATGTGTAGAATAAATATTACCTTTCAACATTTCTGTCAACGAAGATTTGCGTCACAGCCTGCGACACACTATTAGCAGTGTGGGGTACCATACAGGTGGCTGTTATTTAAAAAAAAAAACGGCGCTTCATGTACAATTCACCGAGGGTACTGGCAGAGAATGGGAATCTGGAAGGCAGAGAGGAGCATTCTTAAATGGTACACGTGAGCAACGATAGTTAACATACCTGTCAACTCATACGGTTTAGCCATAGTTCATACGGATTTTGTGGTGAATTTTACGTATATGGCCATATCGCACAAATCATACGGATTCTGAAAATGTCCGTTTTTTTTGTTTTTTTTTCCCCCTAACAGGTAGTTCCGTTTGCTTTTGCCCAGAATGGTGCTAGTCTACTCGAATGCTTTCATTTCCGGTAACTTTCCAGTAAATCACGTGGTTCCTAGTTGAAAACAGCAGAGTATTCATTGCATACTTCGGTAGTGTACAAGCAAGTTCTACAAGGAAACAAATATATCATTCATATTTCGTGGGTTTTTTTCTGCCGTTATTTTGACATATAAAATGCTTTGGTATGTTATAAGGATTTTTTGCTCTTTATAAGGATTTTTTTGGTAGTTTATACAGGTTGGCGCTCCGAAAAGTTGACAGGTATGAGTTAACACGCTGCAAAAGTGCGTCCCATGCCTCGGCATGCGTGTATAAGTGTGTGCATATGCGCACGTGCGGTAAAGGGTCGATCTCGGGAGGCTGGTTGATCAAAAAGTAGATCTTCGGTCAAAAAGGGTTGGGCACTGTAGGGAAAAAAAACATTTAAACATGAAGGCTCATTGTGTGTTTGTAGCCAACTTAGTCATTTTTATTGTAGGCTCATTTAGCTACATACAGCATGTGTTTCCTTCATCATAAGGCTTTAAAATGTTTGCGGCTCCAGACATAGTCGGTTTTTGTTTTTTTTGTTCCAATATGGCTCTTTCAACATTTTGGGTTGCCGAACCCTGGTTTAGACCCTTCAAAACAGTATTAGTTTTCATTGGATACAGTGCATCACCACGGCAACAGCATACAACAAAATAAAATGACTTCAACAAATTTTCATCTTAAACATCTTTAGAAGAAGCACCCAAAGTTTAAAGAGGATTGGATAACATCTCTAAGAAGTTTGTTAAAATATGACATTGATTGAGGTGAAACTCACAACGGAGAATGCTTCGTTAGGGACTGACAAAACGCAAAATTTGGGGCCCCCACCATCATATAGTACACTTATGTCAAAAGCACAAGATTTTTTTTTTTCCTGTTGTTGAAGTTTGAAGTCTGTTTTGGACAAGGGGGGCTAAAATATGACCACTGTATAGGTGCAAAAATGGGCTAAAGGTGTATGTTAAAATACTCTTAATGTGACTTCCTGTACATGTTAAGGAATGGCTATCAGTCTTTTTTTTGTACATGTGCATGTAAGAATTTCAACAAAAAAACAATTGTCCTTGCAGTGGTCGCTGCTCAGGCCCTAATTAGAGCTTCCCTCGCAAACCCAAAATTGGGGGTATTTCCAAGTTCATGTACTCGCACAGTTATATACTGGCAGATAGCGCAATAACCCTCAGTCTTGAGACATAATAGGTATTACCAGGCCTGATGTGTGTGCAAACTTTCATGAGTATGCGCCCCGGTATAGGCTCTCATAAACAGCATAATTTTTCTTTGCAAACTGGGCATATCCAAGGCAGCACAGTGCAATGATATAAACGATTCACAAAACGGAGCGTGTGAAGTTGGCTTTTACTGTTGTGCTTGGTTGCCCTGGTAATGGACAGAAACGGACAAAGTTGTGAGCGGTGTGGGAGCGACGGCCTCTGACAATGATGCGAGGGAACCTGGCATGTTTGATGTAGAACTTACCCAGGTGTTCATTTCGGATACAGAAAATTCGGACTTGATGGATTTGGGGATGAGGATTGATAAAAAAATAATGTGAGTACAATGTTAAATACTTCGATAAAGTACAACCGAATTCAAAGTTTTGCTCCCGCTGCCTTTTTAAAAACATACGCTAGCGTGCATGCATGGAACCGGACTTTTTTAAGCGACCTTATGGTTTACTACATGTGAATCCATTAATACAGTGTGCCTTATGGAAGTATTAAATACAGAACTATCACCCGTAACTGAGACTGTACGTTTTAATGCGGTGCACCATATGGTCGTGAAAATACATTACCCTACTCTTGCAATTGGAAAACTGCAACAACATGCTGTAAACCTCGAAAGGATAAGCTGGAGCGATGGGGCCCATAGATTAAAAAAAAAACAAAACAAAAAAAAAACATACCAAACCAAATGTGCTGTGATGTTTATTATTCAAAATAGCACATGAGCATCCCTTATAAGTTGGAGAAAAGCATGACAAGTTCAATGAAGGGCAACAAGTTCAACAATTGATCAAGAACACATCTTTCAGACTACAACAAAAATTTAAGAAAAGGTTATGCGTATGCTGAGAAGCGATTTGTGTTTAGCTCGTCATGAACATGCTCCCTGTCAGTAGCATGTCATGAATTAGACTAAATAGCTGAAATGGATCAATCTTGCTAATAACTCTAACATCCAGAATGAACCACAAAGAAAACATCAATTCAATTTAATATTATAGAAACATAGTCACACCATGATTAAGGTCTGAAAATCATATTCAATATGCTGTGTCCAGTACAGATGGCAAATTACACTTTTGTTTTATGCTCACAATCACATTTGCAGGTGAATTGCCCACCTCTGAACTCATTTGAAATGATCAGAGACTTGTCTGCATGTGTACACCATGAAAAGAGCCTCTTTTTGGTGTGAATATTACTTATGAAAATAATTATGTAGAAAATAGAGTACAAAGTACTCATTAACCCCAATTATTAAAACCACGGCAAACATGGACAATAGAGATCTAGAGACAAATTCAATCAAACAATCAAATTATCCTTCTTCCTCTATTACACAAATAGATACTAGTTTATTGTTCATGTAGAAAACTTGAGATCTAAGAGTAGAATTGAGAAATCGGCCCGCACATTCACAGCAGACTAGTTGAGGCGGGCTCAATCCTGCAGCGTGGCTTAGGTTTCGAGGGGATGTCTTGACAACGAAGCAATGGTGCTTTCACAAGCTGTTGTGGACTCCATCTCTGCAGGTCGAGCTTTGTTGATTCCTTTAGTTTCCAGCCTCTCGTCCCGGGACAGTTTCTTATCCTCTCCTTCATCTTCCTCCCCTCCTAGTTCTGCTGGCTCATCTGCCTGCTCCTGCAGGAGGCTAATCTGGTTGTTGAGGTCATTCCTTTCCCTCTGCAGAGCTCTACACAGTCTCTCCAGGAGTTCCAACTTGCCCTGAAGAGCCTTGAAATGGCCATCTCGTAGCGTTTTCTAGAAGAGAATAAAAATATTTCATTGCTGGGTTCGGCAAAAAACAAAAGAAAAAAGAGAAATCTCCCATTAAGAGTACAAAAGCAATACAGTTTTACAGTGGTAAGAAAGACCATTTTTTTATCTGTTCTTCACATGTTTATCAAACTTGTTTTCTAGCATCAAATATGAAATACTAGTCAAAGACAACACAAGTTAACAAGATGCAGTTCTTAAATCAAGGTTTTTATGAGAAAATAGCCAATCCAAACCTACATGGCCCTGTGTGAAAAAGTGATTGCCCCCTTAAACCGAAAAAACTGGTTGGGCCTCACTCAGCAGCCACAACTAAAATCAAGTCTTTTTACTGCAACTAGCAATGAATCTTTAATGCCTCTGTGGAGATATTTTCGCCCACTCTTGTAGAATTTCTTTCATTCAGCAACATTGGAAGGTTTTCAAACACAAACAGCCTTTTAAAGAGTAAATGTGACAGGACTTTTGTCAAAATCCAAAGTCTGGTTAGAAATGGGACTTAAACCAGAGCAGGGGTGTCAAACTCATTTCACATGGTGGGCCACATACGGCCTCGGTAGATGTCAAGTGGGCCGGACCATTAAAATGATACAATACTTTGTTATAAATAAACAAAACAATATGTCTTTCCTTTGTTTTGGTATAAAGAAGCACAAGAACATTAGGAAAATGTTGAAATTTAATGAACATATCTTTTACAAAACATTTCATGAAGCACCTTACATTTCCTTCGACAAATGTGCAATTTACTTTTATCATTCACATATATGCATTGCAACTGATCCCACTGATTGTACAAACTTTAACAAGTAATTGGT